CTTAAATCCCAAATCTATCTATGACTAGCTGTAAACCTTAAATAAGCTGCTCAACTTCTCTAAGCCTTTATTATCTCATTACTAGAGGCCCAGTGCACAGGTTCATGTACTGGTGGGGTCCCTCGGCCTGGCCTGTGGGGATGGGCAGAAAACAGTAGTCCAACACCTTCCTAGTGGTCACAGAGTGTGAGAGGGCCCTCCAAAGAGTTGCTGTCACTTTGCAGCTCCTGTGTTGAGCACCTGATCCCTAGTGGTCAGTGTGTGTCTTAGTTACCAGACTATCATCCAGTTGCTTAGGCTTTTATATATATAGATAACACATCACTAAGGAAATCTCTGTCTCTCATGGAGCTGGTTGGGAATCAGAAAGATTATATGTGCAAAATACCAAGTAAAATGCTTAGTACACAGAAAATATAATTAAATGATAACCCTTTTAAATATTGCAATTAAACCTCTTTTCTCTATGTCTCCTTTTTCTTCACATCAATACTTCTGTTTGGGTTTTCATCAATGTTTGCTGGTTTACTACTGTTGTCTCCCCAGATTGTTGCTAGTGTGAACTTTCTAAATGGCATATAGTATAATCATACTGTTGCCTTCCTTAAAACACTTAAAATATTTCAATAATCCTCCTTAGTTTTCAGGATAAAGTTAAAATTTTTCAGAATTTCATCCAAGGTCCATCATGTCCTTATGCTTGCTTTAAAAATCTTACTCTATTTCCTGCCATTTTCCCACAGGAACAATTTTGATAAACTCCACAGAACATTTTGCTTATTCATCACACAGACTTCTCACTGTTCAGAGCACTTTGTTTTATCCCTTCATCAGAACTAAACTTAACCTCAACTGTAAAGATTTTCTTGAACCTGACTTAATGGATTTTTTTTTATGATCCAGCATTCAGAGCATTTCTCTTTCTTATGTAGTGGGGTAAACCACATTAGATCTAAACTGCCATGGGTCAAATTTGACCCTGATATTTATTAGTTGTTCGCCTTTAAGCTAATAACTTTATCTCTAACTCACTTTTCCCATATGTAAAGTGAAGATCACATTAAAGATGGCTTATTGTAAACTTTAGATTATTATAATCATATAAATAATTCCAGAATTTGTAAAGTAAGTATTCTTTATTGAGCAGAAATAGAGCTTTTAAAAGTAAAATCAGGGATTTCAAAAATACAAGCAATTTTCTTAAAAAAAATATTCTGATGGTTTTATCAACAAGTATATAATATATTGCATACTGTATATAGTATATGAGGACTGTACAGTACAAATTTATGTTCACAGTTTGACATGACAAAATGTCATTACTGAATTCCCATTGGATTACACAGAGTAGAAACAGAGAAGGTATATTAAACATTCACTTTAGTAAGAAAGGTTATCAAAATGTTTCAGTATTTGCAAGTATACTAATACATGCTAAAAACCTTTATCCATTCAGTCTCATTAGCTTATAAAATATATTACACTTTATTAAAAATTTTTGCATAGTTTATACAAGTATTAAAGCACTGTAATGTAATAATCCTGCTATACTTGCAGGTATGGTTTAAGAGATGCTAAGCAGAAAGATTATTTTGACCCTCTATCACTAAGTATATATCAGCAAAAAAAAAAAAAAAGTGCTAGTATTTGTAAAACATAATACTGTAGTCCTCATTTAATGCATGGAAAAATGGCTTTGTAAATGTATTATTTCATAAGTGGATTTGCAATTATTTAGCAATTGTCAACCTTGACCAAGAAGAGAATAAATACCGCTCTGAGCAACTTCATGTATGACAGTGATTCCTTCAAGATGACAATATTTTCAAACCAATGGATTTATTTTAAAACTTTAGATCTTTGAGATTGTCTTTAAAACAATCTAACCAGGAATGATGTGCAGATATATAGTATCAACAATATAGTCTTTCAAATTTCACATTAGTGCAACACTGATAGTGCAGGTGGGTGTTTAATAATAACATATACATGTACATCTGTAGTTTTCTGTAAATCTGTTCCAAGGCTCTCAAAGCTTCTGCATGTTTAGTATTTCCTTAGCTGAACAAAGCTATGCTGCTCACATTCACCAAACAAGGCACTTCAGAATGTTTAATGCCCGTTCACGATGCCGATTCACATTTTAAAACTCTAATATATGATGGATTCAGGTTTAATTTTTCTGACACTTGGATAATAACCGAGTAAATTCTATAACCATTTATACACTAGCTTCATGCTTACAAATCATTCTCCTCAACTTGAATGTTGCAATTAAAATCACCCTTGATAGTAACATGCACATCATTAAAACCACACACTTAAGGGCATCTTATTTGAGGTCTCCCGCAAAAGCAGCTAAAAATGACTAAGAGACTAAATTTCCCAACTATGATAGTAAGATACAAATATATATATATTTATAAGGAAAATTTGTAGAGCCAATTGGTAACTAAAGTATGTAGAGCAGTAAGGGAACAGAGAATGATGGCTTCTCTGGATGGTTCTTTCAGTAAAAATGGAACTTTGTTAATGAACTGTTAACATAATCTAAGCAAGCTAAGTATAATGTAATAGTCTCTGCAGTGTTTTGCTTGTACTTTTGAACAGAATTTTGATATGCCATAGCAAACATTACATTTCATTAGAATCCATGAGGCTTTCTGTTAATTGGACTCAGACTCAAAGCTCATTATAGAAAGATCAACTTTACGCTTTCTCATCCCCTTTCCCACCTTCTTTGGTTAGAATATACATAAACTGGTTTTTCTCTGTCAAAACAAAAAAAAGTCCCTTGCATTCAAACTTAATTCTTCAGTGTGTTGTGGAAGAGACATTTCAAGAAATAAGCACTTTGGCATGAATGTGACTAAGTATTTACAATACAGACAATACCTTCTTTCCCAAGAGCTACTTTTTTCTATCCCTCAATTCATATCGTAGTTGCAACCAAACACACAACAACAAAGAAAAAGCCCAATTAGAATGTTTTAATATTCTAAATGAATTTTGCACTGCTAAAATAAATAAATAAATAAATAAATAAATAAATAAATACCAAGTGCCAGATAACAAATTATTTTGCATTTCTGTACATTTCCTTTCAGATGGTTCAGAGAGCTGTTGAGTGGGACCCCTAGGTGTGCAGTCCTTACAATTATACTTTCATTAACATAGCACCAAAGTAAGCTCCCCCACACAACCCGCACGCCTGCAGAATCACTTCTTCACCGATGCTTTAAAAACAGTGTACTCCTCCCAGTTAAAGTTGTGTTGGATCCTGAGTTGTGGCTCAGACGAAATCTTCAGGACTCCATTCTTCTCTTCCCCATCCTTTTATAAAGGGGCATTTGGTCACAAGTGCCCACTTTTGGCCACCGTTGTTACTGCCTTCAAATTCAGAACCAAGGCATTTCTACAAATAAGTTATTTTTTTATTTATTTTTATTTATGTATTTTTTTTTCTTTACATGAATTATGTTTATTGACATTTAGACTATGATGCTCAAAAGCCTGCTTTTGAGAAATGTCCCCCAAGTAATGGTGCTATTTGTCTTGAACATGAACACGAGTCATTTTCAGTTTGTTCTTCTGACAGGATACTTGATAAGTGAGTGCCAGCTCCAACAGTAAACTTTGGGAATTGTTGAGCTACGTAGATGAATCCATGAACTGTGATTTTCTATTTTTTTAGGAATCTGTCTTCCCCGCCCCCAATAAAGGTCTGTGTGCTTCACAACTATTTACAAAGACCGTCACTCAGGTCTTAATGAATCTACTTAGCAGATGCTTACCTGTGATGTGTGTCATGAACACCAATGACAGCCAGTTTGGCCCTTGTTACACACTTTCTGTACGAAAGCTATAGGAGTAATTTGATTTGGGAATATAATTACCGCTCAATGTTTCCCTGTTTGCAGAAAGGCTCTCAGTAGGTTGGGTAAAGAAGCCATTCAGACCCCGATTCAAAAGATTCTTCACCATTATGGGGCAAGTATTTTTGTGGTGTTCCTACTCTCAATGCTTGATGATCTACATTAAGGACATTATAGGACTGGAGGTCGGTGCATGGGTAACCCCATCAGTATTTGGCTTTGCTGAACGGTTCTGCACAGCTGAATATGCAGAAACCGAAGTTCTAGGAACACACTGCACAGTTCACCAAATGATGAAATCTCACTGAAAACCCCTGGCTAGCTTCCTCCTTTGCCCCCTTGCTCCAACTCCATGTGATGCAAATACAGAGCCCATCCCTTGAACTGACAGAGATCCCATTCCTACGCCAACAACTCTAGCTTCTCTTCCACTGGTGGCAAAGTCCTCCTTATTAGCTGCAGGCACAAAGGAGGGTAATGGACTTAATGTTGATGAAGTGATAAATCCAAGTTGACAAGCAAGATTGGTGAAGGATAATGGAAAAGCTGACTGCACTCGCCTGGAATCTTGCTGCCCTTCTAGCTGACCCGTGAAGGGGTCCACCCATCTTTCCTCTGTGCAGCACAAAATGCGGTCACAGGGCTCAGAGGTATGAATGTCTCTGGCAAGGACTAGCAGGCTGGATACTGTATTTACTTTGACATTCTTTTGAGGAATACATGGACAAACCGACAACTGGTTCTGTTAGGTTACATGTTCCCTTGTTCTCATTACATTAAACTTATCTGTAAGAAGGGTTTGCTTAGCATCCCCAGGGGTGTGAGAGAGGGGAGAAAGTGGCCACATTCTTTAGGTCTGACCCGTGGTAAGGAGGGAGGATTTGAGAATATTTACTACCGGTACTGACCATATGGAAGTGAGACTGATATAAATTCAGAGATTCAGACCAGCTGAATCAAAATTAAAATGTACATGTGAAAAATGAGTTAGACAATGGGAGGACAGAGAGAGCTGGGCCAGGGGGGAACCATGTGCCTAGGCAGAGACAGAGACATTCAAACTCACATGTGCCGTTTGTTATGTTGAGCAAGGTGGTCAGAACAGGAGAAGCAGCTGTCACAGTACTAACACTTGTGAGGTTTGCTTCCAGTATGTGTTCGGAAATGTCTTTCTAGTCCATCAGACCGAGCAAATTTCCGTGTGCATTTTTCCCATGTACATTTGTAGGGTCTTTCTCCTATATGTGGTTTTCTGTGTGCTTTCAGTAGAGAGCTTCTAGTGTACACTTTGTTGGGTCCTTCATAATCACATCTATCTATCCTTCGCTTCCTTTGGGTGTCTGGAGATTCCACAGGTAAAGGTCCCTTCCCCGGCTGCACTGTGACTGGAGGGTGATTCTCTTGCAACAATGCTTGCAGGAGGGACTCCGAGTTCATTAAAGGGGGTGATATTTCTTCAGGATGATAATCTGTCCTCTGTGGTTCGATCCCAGGTTCTATTTTATTTTCTTTCTGCAATATAGGCTTCTCATAGGATTCCTTTACAGATACTTGCATGTTACCATTTGCATTTCCCATCTCCTCGGACAAGGACACCATGAGCGGCTGCTGGAGATGACTGGTGGACATGAAGGGGACGGGCTGTGCCACAGCGGGCTGTGTGACCGGCAGTGTCCACGGGCTCCAAATTCCATGCCTGGACAGGGCAGCGGCTGTCACTGGTGGCATGGACAGCGACATGGATGGCGGCATGGACAGCGACATGGATGGCGGCATGGACAGCGACATGGATGGCGGCATGGACAGCGACATAGATGGCGGCATGGACAGCGACATGGATGGCGGCATGGACAGCGGCATGGACGGAGGCATGAACAGCGGCATGGACGGAGGCATGAACAGCGGCATGGACGGAGGCATGGACAGCGGCATGGAAGGAGGCATGGACAGCGGCATGGACGGAGGCATGGACAGCGGCATGGACGGAGGCATGGACAGCGGCATGGACGGAGGCATGGACAGCGGCATGGACGGAGGCATGAACAGCGGCATGGACGGAGGCATGGACAGCGGCATGGACGGAGGCCTGGACGGAGGCCTGGATGGTGGCCTGGACGGAGGCCTGGACGGTGGCCTGGACGGCGGCCTGGACGGAGGACTGGACGGAGGACTGGACAGCAGGATGGACCGCAGGATAGACGGCTGCATGGACGGCTGCATGGACGGAGGCCTGGACGGCGGCCTGGACGGCGGCCTGGACGGAGGCCTGGACGGAGGACTGGACGGCGGCCTGGACGGAGGCCTGGACGGAGGACTGGACGGCGGCCTGGACGGAGGCCTGGACGGAGGCCTGGACGGAGGCCTGGACGGCGGCCTGGACGGAGGACTGGACAGCAGGATGGACCGCAGGATAGACGGCTGCATGGACGGCTGCATGGACGGAGGCATGGATGGTGGCCTGGACGGAGGCATGGATAGCGGCCTGGACGGAGGCACGGACGGCGGTTTGGACAGCAGGATGGACCGCAGGATAGACGGCTGCATGGACGGAGGCATGGATAGCGGCCTGGACGGAGGCATGGATGGCGGCATGGACCCCGGCATGCTGAAGGGCTGCCCTCTTGGGGGCAGGGGCGATGGCATGGGCTGGCTGGACGGTGGCATGCTCAACCCGGGAGAGACCCTCCAGTGCGAGGACTGGAACTTCAGCGAGGAAGAATTCCCAGCCGAGGGCGGTGAACTCCGCTTTTTCACGGACAGGTCCAACGGCTCCGTCTGCATGCCATGCCACAGGACTTGCGGGCTCTGAAAGGACTCATCGGATAACGGTGTGGAGTAGATGACTCCGCACTGGCTGGGCTGGACGGACTCCGTGTCATTAGATGGGTCTAACACCGAGGCAGGCTCCATGGCCTCTTGCTCGTCAGGAACTGGGTCAAACATGAGCTTTCTTTTAGTTAAGCTTTCTAGGGTGCTCTGGTGTTTGGCTTTTCGAGGTTCGGTGCTGAGCGCTGCAGAGAAGAAATAAAGGCCTGGCTCTGGGCTGCCTGAACCCGCAACTGCGGGAATGTCAGCGTCCTGGTGCAGTCAGGGCTGCCGGGTCGCAGGGGACAGGGACTCCAAGCAATTTTCTATAAAATAGAAAATTATCCATATTTTATCTGAAGTAATAAGTATAATGTGGGAAAAACCTATCCTAGCTCCATTTTTCAAATTATCAATTTCTAAAACTATTTTGTTAGGAAGGAAAGCATTAACTACTAACTTTTTTTTTAATATTTTATATGGAAAAGCTATAGCATCTTATTGTAATCTTTTGAACTTCATTTAAGCTTTAATTGAATTTGGAAAACATTCTAAATATTTTACAAACACACGTAACTGTATATGTAATAAAAGATAAAAGTTGATAAGAATCATTGTTTGGAATATGATATTTCAGCCATCTTTGAATAATATCAGTGAATTTTGTTTGAGCTACTCACGATTATCAATACTAAGCATGGTCATTGTTTATAACTCAAAATTACTTGACTTTGACAGAATAATAAGAATCTTTTTATTGTTTTCTAGAACTAGCTAAATTTAGATATTAGTAATAAGCAAGACCAAAGAACCCAAAATGTATTAATCATTTGCTCATTTATAGGCAGAACAAAATTGTTTTAGAAAAGAACAATGTGCTCTTTACATTTGGATACTGGAATATAGATTTGAAGCAGACTGCTTGCTTCAATAAAATGTCAAGGAGAAACTAAGTATTTCAATTATGAAAATAGGGTGGGGCTTCCATAAGTAGAGACTTACCACAACTTTTTATTGCTCTTGAACATAAAGTTTTATAAGCCAAGAGATGAAACCTGAGGATAAAAGAAGAAATATATGTAATCACAGTGACTGAGATCAATAAACAGTGTAGATTACAGAAGAGGCAACCTCTCGCTGCTGCCATTTTTATATAAAGAATTTTGCTGGGTCAATATGGAGCATGCTCTGACTTGGATGCAGCATGATATAGTGGACTCGGTTCTTAGACCAACACAGGCTCTAATATTAACTCTGAATATTCTGTCAGGCAAAATTTTAAATATCGAATTTATTTTATCTGACCAATAAGTATAAAGTTGCCTGAAGAGTACAGGAAGTTATATGAAATTATTTTATCTAAACCTGGCACAAATGTGCTTTCACAATTGTGACTCTTTATCAATAGCTATCCTGGTTTAATTAAATACAGGGTCTTGGAAAAATTATTTATTGCACCTCCCATGTCAATTTATTTTATAGTAGATACCAAACAGTCCACAAATGTAACCATGTATAAACTGTATGTGCTTGAAATGAGTTTTTCTACTTTATTTCCTTTTGATTCAAAGTGGCCTCATCTAGCACCCTAATTCACCTGCTTCTTCTCCCTTGCATGTCCACTCCCTTAATCGTTAAGCCCTTAGGACAATGTTCCGGTTATCATCAAGGTATCAAATAATCTTTTAAATAAATCCTTGTGTATATTTGTGGTAGGCAGTTAGATAGCCATGGCAGAATAAGGACAATGGGCCAGGTACAGAAAGGCACCAGGACAGAAAGCCCCAGCTGCCTAGCAACAAGCAAAATTGGGAAAACAAGGACCTCCCCTCCCTTGTCTTCCCTAGCATATTGCTGGTCATGTGGTTTAGATCCCTCACCCCCAACCTTCCTTTCCTAGAAATTATATCTATGCCTCAGTTGTGTTTCATCTTCAGGTCTAGAGATGCAGAAAAACTAAACACGTGATGCCATGCGCCATATCTAACATCAGGACCAGCTGCATTTACTAATGACTGGCCCTTCCCCCTAACACCAACCAATCAGTGGATACCACACTCTGAAAGGACACCTGGAAAGTTAATGAACATTCTATTGAGATCTTTCCCCAGGATATCCTCAAAAGTCCCCACCCTTACAAGCCTTTAGGACAGAGGACACAGTTCTCTCCCTCTCCAGAGAACACGGGCACATTTCCCTTCCCCCTCCTCCTCTGACCCCTACCTTTCTCTCTCCTAAGCTCCAAGGGTGCTTATTTTGCAAGTGTTCTAAATAAACTTTCTCTTATAGTTTGAGTTCTTTCCCAGCAAGAATTCAAGTTGCTGAACCAAGGTCCTATCTGACTCCACCAGTCTCACACCTGGTGCCATCCTCACCACTGCCACCATATTGATCCCAGAGACAGTTTAGGTCAGCCTGGAGATAACATCTAGCCTCAGTGTGCTTCAGCTCCAAGCCCAGGAAAGTAGTGAAATCTGACAAAATGATACCATGACTGATATCAAGATCAGATACAGTTATCAACTGCTCTCTACCCTTAGCACCAACCAAGCAGTAGAGATCTCAACCCTGACACGGACCCTAACTCCTTTAGTCACTGTGATTAACAATGTTTCTCTTATGTAAAACATTCCCTGAAAGCCATCAGTGAGCTAGGTCTTTAGCATTAGCTTACCTGTGTTTCTGGGCATGGGCCACTTCCTAAAAATAAACCCTTACTTTCTTTGCTATCAATTCTGTTCCTCTATTATTGGGCATGATACACACAAGCAAAGAATTGGTCCTGCAACACCAATTCAGGCATATAAAATCTAATTTTGTTTATAAGTGCCACTACTGTTCTTAAGATTCCTATTTTGTAGATGTCAAAAATGCTTAACTCCACCAATTCATCATAATTCACTCACTTCTGTTTTAAAAACAAGTCTCTCAGAATTCTACCACACACACACACACCCCACCATGAGGCACACACACACACACACACACACACACACACACACACACACACACCACCACGAGGCACACACAAATGCACAGGTGAGATTCTACCTCTTACTTTCCAAGTCATCTAAATCCTAGAGTGAAGTTATATATTATCCTAGCATTAAAAGGAAGGTATCTGGTCCTCATGCCACTTTCTGGCTCCTCCAGTCTGCAGAGAAATGTAGCTCATATCAATCTGGTCCACACTACTGTCACTGTCTTCTTTAATCCAGTTCATGTCCCCGTACCAGATTTCAATTGTCAAAACCATACAATTTGCATCCTCTTTGTTCTAACCATAAGTTCTCTTTTGGTGGTACTTTGCTTTTTCCACCAAATCTGAATCCTTGATAGGTGTTGAATGCCATTTTAGACAGTTGGTTTTCCAGTTAAGGCTTGTCACTTTCTGTATTATACTGTGAGAAGGCAGTCAATTAGTACTTTCTACTCATACCTACAGGTTTATTTATCTCCTTCACTTTTGCTGACTGGTCCAAAAAAAAAAAAAAAAAAAAAAAAAAAAAAAAAAAAAAAAAAAAAAGGGTGGGGCACTTCCCAGAGACCATTGTTTCTAATATCTATATAGTCACATTCCTTTGGGACGTCTTTTTCCATATGCTAATCAGTGGAAACCTCACTTCCTATTTTAAGATATCATTCGTTAATTCAAATTCCAACTGCGTTTGCCTCTTCATATTTAATTTGAACTTCTGGCACTGAAGCAAAAGTAAATATTCGTTTCTGTCTCAAGCACAAGGTTCTTGAAATTGAAAGTTTGGTCTTTTCAAAACATTGTCTCCACAAGAGGTTTATAGACACTCAGAAGTGAAGAATTTGCCTCCGTGTGTGTGTGTGTGTGTGTGTGTGTGTGTGTGTGTGTGTGGGTGTGTGTGTTTTTCTCCTTTTCCTTTACTTTTATCATCTCTGCCCTGAGGATTCAGTTTCTATAACCCATTCCTGCTGCCTGAGAGCATAAAAAAGGAATGGGCAAACTTGGTTTTGATGTCAAAACTTTGCCCAGTGCTCTTGCCACTGCTAAACAGATTTAGAATAGATGAGAGAGCATGGGTGTTTAATATCGCACTCATTCGTGGTTTCTGCCCCTGTGGTTCCCTCAAGTTCTTCCCTCCAAGTTTGCATATTCAAATCCAAACTACAGCAGTCCTTCCTTATCCCAGTTTTGCTTTTCATGGTTTCATTTACCCATAGTCAACCTCAATCCAATATTAAATGGAAAATTATAGAAATACACAAGTCATAAGTTTTAAACGGTAGTTCTGAGTAGCATGATGAAATCTCACCAGTTCAGCTCCCTCCCAGGAGATCCTGAATCACCCCTTTGTCCAGCATTTTCACCCTATATATGCTCTCGATCCATTAGTCACTTAGTAGGACTCTTCTGTTCAAGTTACCCTAATTTTACTTAATAAGGGCCTGAAAAGGTGACAGTAGTGATGCTGGCAATTCAAATATGCCAAATAGAAGAGGTCTTTCTTTATTTCTTCCTTCCTTTCTTCCTTTCCTTTCTTCCTTCCTTTCTTCCTTCCTTTCTTCCTTCCTTTCTTCCTTCCTTTCTTCCTTCCTTTCTTCCTTCCTTCTTCTTCCTTCCTTTCTTCCTTCCTTTCTTCCTTCCTTTCTTCCTTCCTTTCTTCCTTCCTTTCTTCCTTCCTTTCTTCCTTCCTTCCTTCCTTCCTTCCTTCCTTCCTTCCTTCCTTCCTTCCTTCCTTCCTTCCTTCCTTCCTTCCTTTCTTTCCCTGTGCTTGCAACTGATTTAGTCCAATATAAAACTTTTTGAGGGCTAGCAGAGTTTGCCATCCCAAAATATGCCTCTTTGTGTTATTGTTTTAAGCTGATTATTTTTAAGACAAAAAAGACTCAGAAATAATCTTTAACCCTTCCTTACCTTCCTATAAGAATTTAGACCAGAAAGGGAGCAATCATCATACAAAATTATCCTATATAATAAAGAGGTAATATGCAAATTGACCATCACTCCAACACACAAAATGACCACCTCCATGTGGACACAAGATGGCTGCCACAAGATGGCCAGCAGGGGAGGGCAGTTGGGGGCGACCAGGCCTGCAAGGGAGGGCCATGGTGGGGGACCAGGCTGGCAGAGGAGGGCAGTTGGGGAGATCAGGCTGGCAGGGGAGACAGTTGAGGGGGACCCAGACCTGCAAGGGAGGGCAGTTGAGGGAGATCCAGGCCTGCAGAGGAGGGAAGTTGGGGGAGGGGAGACAAGGCCTGTAGGGGAGGACAGTTAGGGGTGACAAGGCCTGCAGGGGAGGACAGTTGGGAGCAACCAGGCAGCAGGGGAGG